TAACATCAGTCTTTCTATACTTCTGCTCAAGTTTGAGAATACCTGACATGAAATAGTTCAGATTGACACCTCAAATCAAATGTTAAGTAAATATTCAGACCATTAAGACTGCAAACAAATGCTCCTCTTTTTTTTTATTTGAAGGGTTTTTTTAGTTAATCTTTAAATGCGTTGCCTTATGACTCTTGTTGCCAGGACTATAGTTTTATAGGAAAGAAAACTTGTCTTGGCTATAAGTTTATCAGGAGATTTTGGTTGTTTTTGGTTCAGCACTTGTCTGTGTTCTGTAGTGTGCTTCATAGAGAAGAGAGAAGCTGTCAGTTTTAAAGAGTTGACCAAAGAAGCTTGGGTACAGGTTATTGTCATGTTTTGGATCCTATGACTCTCATATTTGTGGAAAAATCCAGTCCCTGCCTAAGGACATTGTTTTGTGTAAAATGTTGTGCAGAATCCCTTGAATACATTATCTGCAGGTCTTGATGCTGCCATTGACAGATGAATTTAGGTGGTTTGAAGAAGCTGGTTGTCTGAAATACTAAGTGATGTAACCAGAGAGAGAATAGGTGTTTTAAGCTCCTGTGTCTATATACAATGTCCTTGGCCTATGTACATCCTTTATTCTTAGTGATTTACCACCCTTCAACAACTGAGGCTCTCTACAAGAGCCTCTATTTGCCCCAACAGATCCTTTATTTTTTTGTTGTTGTTCTTTCTTGCTTGCTTGCTTGGTTGTTTGCTTACATGTCTCAGATTAAATTTATGACCTCAGTTTCAAGTGTCCCTACGTCTGTTCATGGTGTGGCCCCTCTGACATCTATAGAGTATGTTGCAATTGGATAGGGTAGCACTGGATACAACATGTATAGCATTGGCTCACTCAGCACTGCTAGTGTTCTTATTGCACACTCCTGCCAGGCAGCCTGCATGATAGTGAGAGCCAGGCAGTGCCTCTCACCTCACCACCTCCCGGCTCCTCTGGCATAGCCTAGGGGAAAACCTGGGATGGCACTGGTTATGAAGATCCATACTTCATATGGATCTTCCTGTGACTCTCACAGTTCTGAGGTTTTTTTTTTTTCCTCATCCATTGAAATTCTGCATCCCCAAAAATACATCTGGCCAGCCCTCTCCACATTAAGTGGAATTTGCGCTCCTTGTTTATTCTAACTCTAGTCTGCAATAAGGTCATATGCTATGAGGTCTGTAAAAGGACCAGATTGTGTTGCAGAACCAGGCAATTGTTGATCTGGAGAAAGAGCTCTGTAGTAGGAAGTAAGTATTACATAGAAACTTGCTCTTCTCATTGCTATTCAGGAGACATTTTAAGAAGTTACAGAGGAAGCAGATCAGCTTCTGGATTATGTTGGCACTCACTGACCTTATGTTTTTTGTTGCAGCAGAAGGGCTTTTTTTCTGGAGGAGCATAAAATGCCCCTAGCACAGCTACCTTACAAGCATCAAAGCATGGAAATTAAAGTTTGTTTCAGTGTGTCGTACATAAAATTTAGTTTAGGTATTAAATTGTGTCCTTGAATATTAGTTTTTCCATGTGGCTTAATTGTTTGAAATGAATGCTTAAAATTCATCTCACTATATGATATTTCAGTATCTTCTTTCATGAGTTTATGTTCTAAGAGTCCTTGTATAGTCTTAAGTGACAACATTATTCTTGCGTCACCTGTCATGGGTTGCTGTTTTCTATTGCACAGAAGACAATATTCAAAGACCACAATATTCTAAAGATAAAGAACCACAGAAATGTTTTTATATAAATCCCGTAAAAACATCCATCTTTCATATTTATAAATTTTAACATGAATATTTATAATAAGATTTCCCTTCTTAATTGTTAGTTAATTTTTTAGCTTTAAAATATATACAGCTACGAATAATATGATGCTGGTATGATAGTGCTAAACTAGTTTTTAATCCACGTGAATTATTTTACATAATGTCACTGAAATTGAGAATTTTACAATAAATATGCAAAAATACTTGTGGCCACCTAAATAGAAGGAAATTAGCAATGGGAAGAATGAATTAAGGAAAAGTTGATGAGTTTGAACAATGTAAATTACAAACTGAACTACCATAGCAAATTAAGAAACAGTACTTACTCCATACAATAGTGTTTATATATATAATAAATACTCCTTTTCCACCAAATGTGTTTAATTTTTTTTGAGGAGTTGCTTTCCTGAAATAAGTTTTACACCACATATGCACAAGTCTATGTTAGCAACCACATTGAATAGTGCTTGTACCAAGGTTTGCTGAGGACTTATTCAGTGTTTAAATACATGATTTCATAAAGACTATTGTGGCTTTTCAACCACATTGGTTATCCAATCTAAAATGCCTAGAACCAAATAAAAAATCTCTTTCATTCTACTGTAATAAAAAGAAAACCATTTCATAGCATGATGAAGTAATTCTTTGTTGATGATTGATCTAAGTGATAGAAGTACTTAATTGTGAATCTGCACAAATTGTATTCATCTGGCCAATTATGGATCCACATATTGTCAGCAGCAGAAATCTGCCATTGTAACAACTACATGTATTACCCAGCTACCATCGTTCTAGTAACGTGGATGGTTTGCCCTGCTTACAAAACATTCGCAAGCATATGTTGCAGAGGTGAGCATCAAGGGCACATAGGTTGTTATGTAATTACAATGCACGCAAAACTACTGCTTGATTACAGGGAAAGCGGTGATTCTGCCACGGCTGTTATGCCAATGCGCTCATTTTGATGATGTGTTCTCATAACGTATTAGCTTTAATCTCTGAAGATTTGATTTAAATCCTGACTGTTCATCACAGGTGAAGAGATATGTAGTAATTTCCAAGTTCTGAGAAGGCGTTATTCCACATGATAAAGGCTTTGTGCATGTGTGCATGATTACCTGTTGTTGCATTAGGGTATGTGGCTACACATACTTTTGCAGATATGGGTTAACATGTATGAATAGTATAGAGTCTTGTTCACTATTTTCCTGTTATGTGGCTACTTATGGCTATATCATAAGTATAAAAGCTACACTTTCATGAAACTACACTATTGTTTTCTCCCTTTGAATAATCCAACAGTAGTAAATGTGGGACACAACAGAGGGCAATCAATGGAAGCTTGCCAGCTGCCATATGGTGCTAATATTGGTGATGGCATGCTGTATTGTAAACTCAAGACTTGCAGCAGTTTATGCATTTATGCAGTGTGACCTTACATTACTGTCAAAATTTATAATCATCACATCATTTTATAGAAAGAATTATTAAGTGTCAGGTTTGTTATACATTGAAAATATTTTGGACACCCTAGGTCTGAAATTTTCTAATACATCCATGTGGAGCAATAGATTAAGAAGGGGTCTTGGCAAAGACTGTATATTCTATGGAGCCATTTTGAAGTCAAGATTGAGATCTACTTAATTTAAAGAAATTGGGAATTGATATTATCCAGCAAGCACTTGGTTTTTTGCTTGTGGAGTTTTTCTGGGTTTTCTGAGATGAAGCAGAAAAATGTATCCTAAATATATATATGGCTATATCCTCTGTATTCATGACATAATGTGTTGTATGTAGAAATGCACAAAAATAATAGAGGGAATAAAAGTTATAGCATGGAATATATTGTGTAAGTTATGTGCTTAATCAAAGTCCTGAAGGGCTGATAAAACTGGCAGTAAATGTGTATGTGTAGCATGACAGCATCATGAGCAATAGTTGCACAGAAAGCAATCCTTGGCACTAGGTAAAAATTCATTACCCTGCCCAAAACTGGTAATGTGGTAACTGAAGAAAGTAGTATGGTCAATTGCTTATTGAACTCAGTGATGCAGTAAATTGCTTAAACTAAAAATTAAGCTGGTGATGTTTAAACAAATTAGTGTTGATTGAAAGACTAAGACTTATTCTCCTGCTCCTTCATACTTCAGAGCCAAATTTAATATAGACTAGACTAATATAAACTACTAATAGAAAATGCCATGAATGTTAAGAGTGTCACAATCTACCCACCACTGCCATGTTTATGTGCATATATGTAACTCTGCTCAATATCTCTCTAGATCTTCTCTGTCTATAAATTTGGGTAAACCTGTACATGTGGCACTTTAATGTGTCCTGAATCTTTACTTAGTGCCAGGGATTGCTTTCTGTGAAACTATTGCTCGTGATGCTGTCATGCTACACATACACATTTACTGTCAGTTTTATCAGCCCTTCAGGACTTGGTTTCAGAACTCGGGAAATGAATAAACAAATGCAGCTGGGCCCCTGAAGGGAAGTTGCATCTCCTTTCCTGAGATTTTAACCATGTCATGCTGTTCCATCATTCCAGCAACCAGAACCCCATGGCTCCTATCTAAGCATCCTAACTGATTCGTAATCTGCCAACAGATTTGATTTGTGTCTGCCATTGGCAGTTGAAACAAATGCCTATGGAGCCACAGTAACTAGCATGATTTCCACTCGTGTGATTTTTGTCCTTTGTTGGTGTTAATGATTGCTTTATTTGAAACACTGAACTCCCTGAGCTACCACCTGAAAGTTCTGGCGCTTGTCACAGTTCTGTCTTTTGGCTCATAAATTTGAGGTGGAAGATGCTAGCTAAGGCAGCTGCTTGTTTCCTTTCATGGTGAACTGGGAGCTTAAAAGGAAGAAGTTGAAGGCTACTTACCTTATAATTTTCATATCTCTTAGTTCCTTCTTGAGACATTGTACATGACCCTGGCCCAGTTTAGGCAATTCTTAATTGCTCAGTGGTGTTCTCCATACTCTTTGAACAAATGTACAAATGTCTAATGGAGCACAGTGTGGAGTGCTGTGTCTCTTGCTTAGCAGTGACCTTGTTCTTCAGCCAGCTGGATTAGGACAGTTCTGATTGACTCAGTATTGAAATCTTAACATATTATTTTTAATGATTTTGTATGTTAAAAACCTGCAAATTACATCTGAGTTATTCTAAAATGTTCTTCTCATCTTTGTTTCCATAGTACCAGGACACGAATATGCAAGGTGTAGTGTATGAATTGAACAGCTATATAGAACAGCGCCTGGATACAGGAGGAGATAACCAACTGCTTCTGTATGAACTGAGCAGCATTATTAAAATAGGTAAGAAAGAGAATCAGATGTCTCTGAGCTGTTACTTAGGATCAATGCACAGCACATTTCTTATGTGATTTAATTAATAAAGACAGGTATTGAGGGATAACGGTGCTCTCATTGGATGTTCCCTCAGTATGAACTTACTTCACCTTCTGTCCCTCAGTGAATCCCTAACTGCACTTAAGCGAACGTCATCTTTGGAAACAGTTGCATAGCTAAATGTGAAATTAGAGACTCCTGTTAAATGAGCCAAAGAATATTCTATTCTGGTTATGATGGTGTTGTGATGTCAATATTGAAAGAAAAAAAAAATCTACTGGCAATATCATTGCATACTGAAACTCCTTTTGAAACAAAACTGAAATGTTGCTGCAAGAAGGCATATCTTTTGTGTGATGTCAAATTAGCTCATTTGTTTAATTTTTTTTCCTATCTGATGTAAGTAACTTTTGTGGTAAGATAATAGTACATATGGTCAAAAGTTAAAAAAAAAAACAAACCAAAACAAAAATCTCAATAACAACGGAAGTGTCATTCAGCTTCTTTTTAGCCAGAGTGGATGTGCTCAGACTTTAATACGAAGTATCACAGTGGCTTTGATAATATAACTTTCAGTCAGCTCTTTAAAAAGATTTTACTGTCCCTGCTATTTCATAATTTTGTAATGATAAATAATAGTTCTATTTTATACATATAATCTTTTAAGAGGACCACTTCTGTTTACTGGTTTTGCTTAAATTAGCATTTGGATATTGATGTCCAACTGACAGCAAATCCAACTGGATTTTGTTAATACAGAGCAAGAGAGAATTGACAAGACAGAGTGCTTATGTTTTACAATTGTTTTCCTTTTGTAAAGCAGATGAGGGGTTTTTTTATATATATATTTCCTTTACAGTGCTCATTTGCCTTGTAGCTCAAAATACACACTACAGCTGAAGGATTTAAAATCTGAATGCAAATTACCATGCCCTCAACTCTTACTGGTGTTGTGCAGTTAACAATGAGCAAGTAACTACACAGTGGGACTTTTTTCCTTTTGTCAAAGAAATGAAGAAAGCCATTTGATTTGATTGCACACAAGTATAATTTCTCTCCTGGAAAGTACTAAATGGATTCTCGTGTTCATTCACAAAAAATAGGTACCAGATATGTTCTTTTACTGGTTAGAATGTTTAATAACTCTTGGAAAGACAAATACATGCTCAGAGTCTGTTGTGTAAAGTGAAAAACATTGTCTTCTATATCCTGTTCCGATTTTGAGAGTTTTCATTTGAGCAGTGATTTATGGTGGTTGGTTGACTTTAAACTTTTGAGAGTTTAAGGAACTTGACTTTACCCTGTTTCATAGTACAACCTGAATCTGGCAAAATTCTGATGAGTATAAACTTTCTGGTGCGTCTCAGTGTTTTTAATATGGGGGAGATGCAGAAAACAAAGTGTTTGGAAACACATTTTTATGGCAATATTTGCAACTCCTCATTTTCCTGTGCTTCTCTTTGTTAAGGCAGGGACAAATATACCTTAACATCTACAACTGCCTTTTATTTTGGTCGTGGAAATTATAATTGTATCTGGCTGATAATATTATTGTATTTTTATGTTAATTCTATACTGTTGTATGAATTAATTTGAATTTACAGACCGTAGGCTTTGGAGTATGAATAAGATATATAAAGAAGTTGTTTCTAATGAGCTTTTAGAATATAGTAAATATAAATTGAGAAAAGAAGAATTATGTGGTGGTACCTCTAACTGTAGAGTCTGGAAAGTTTCAAGGGACACAGCAATGGATCTTAACCTTTAGAATTTTAGATGTTTGTCCTAAACGGAATTGAATCTGTGGTTTCACTTCAGAGATGTTTTTTAAGTTTGATTTACCCCTGTGAGTACAATTATTTATTTTATTATTGCTTTGGCAGCTACAAAAGCTGATGGATTTGCACTGTATTTCCTGGGAGAATGCAATAATGTAAGTATACTGGATTAAGATGCTGCTTTTCTGGAGAGTTACAAGTGTTTTTTTCAATTTGATAACGATGTTTTTATATTCTTTTGCATGTCACTTAGCAGAAAATATTATCTGAGTGCTGAATTTTACATTTAACTTGTCTTTATTTCTGTAAATTAGATGTTTATGGAACATAGTGGTTATGAAAAAAATGTTCTCTGCATTTAGATCCTTGACCTTTTAATTTTCTTTTTGAAGGTTTGGCAGTAGTGCTGTTGTTTCTCTGACTGTAGCAGCTTAACTGATTTAGTCCCATTATTAATTGTCCTTAAGAAACAGAAAACTTAACTTGGATTTACTGTCAGCATAGCTTATTCTTTGCATCTAGTTATCTCCATGATTTTTTTTAAGATGTTACCAGGTCTTCTGTTAATTGTCAGCTGTGATTGGATAGTGAGATAATGTAGATTTCAGATGTGGATTTTGTTTAGCATAAAATAAATGATACATTTAAAATTTATGAATGAAATTAGTTTCCAATGTAATAATTCAAATAACACTGAATCCAATATTTACTCTTTTTTTATTTGAACCTTGTTAGAATGCATTACATTTTTTCTGTCCGGATTAATTTGTACAGTTGCCATGATACAAGACTTTGTAGTTACTTTGAATGGCTATAAAGAGGGAAATGCAGTTTATTACTTCAGTCAGTTTCATCAACTTAAAAATCACAATTTGTCAGAAATTTTATGTCTTTCATTAGTTCAAGAAACAAGCAGTGACTAGAGAGGAAAATATGTTTCTCATTGTTTTTGTTTCCTTACTTTGCACAGCCAGTTTTAATAGTTTATTCTTGTATAGTCCATTAGCCAATTTCCTTTGCTCTTTATGAAATAACTGAATTCAGAAAAAAGGGTAAAAATTACATTTTTGAAATAATGGAAACAGGATTGAAGATGAACAAACCTGCAGATTACCTGATATGGAAGAAGGCCCATACAGAAATTTCCTATAAGAAATGGAAATGGGTTTTTGCATTTTTTTCATATGATTATTTCATATAATAAAGATAATCCACTTTATTGTTCAATAACTGTGCCTTCTATGAATGAGTTCTGTTAAGTATATAGGTAGCATGTATTTTTAAATAACCCTTTCACTGAGAAATATAATTTAAGAAACATGTTCTTCCTTTATGAATACAGTCTTTGGTTCTCATTAGTAGGTGTAAGCATCCATTGTCCTGGGTAGGGGGTGATGCAAACAGTCACTGAAAAGCTTCCTCCTGCTGTCAAAGGCAAGAGCCCGCAGGAAGTGCAGCCATCCGTTCTGAATGCAGTGCTGGCCAGCTTGGGTGCCAGTGCCTACCAGCTGAGCATGCTCATCTCTAAAAGCCTTGTAAAAGATTACAGTAAAAATAACTTTTGGGCTGAGACCTAGAGAATTCTTACTATGGTGAGGTTTTTCCTTTTAGATTAGTGTGGCATAATATGGGATTACTCCAAGCCTTCTGATACCCTGAGGGCCTGGGTACTATATGACCTTCTACTTTTTCTTTTTTTTTTTTTTTTTTTGAATAGCCTATTAGGCAGATGAATCTATTTGCTTCCCAGTATCCTAGTATAACTCTTTCCTGAAAAAAGTTCCAACCACTAAAAACACACATTGACTTTATTAACCACTGCTATGCAGCTGCATCACCCAAAATGGAATGTTCTTCATGTAGTTATTATAGGGACTGATCCCAAGTCCTTTGAAGTTAGTGTGAGATTTTCCATTCACTTTAGTGGGCTTTGGGCCAGACTCATGTTTGTAGTCTTGTAACTAAATGGTAATGCATTAGCCTACTTCTTATAAGAAATTGTCATTGGAAATTAAGTTAGATATCTCTTGCCTCTTGAATATTAAATTTAAAAGATGCATCCAAGTGAGATTAGCCATTCCCCAGCAAATACTGGCAATGTGTTTTTATTTATTTTTATTAAATTTCTTTTTAAAATGAGAACAAAAAGACTGTGCATAGCAAAAGCAGAAATGAGCTAATTCTTTAAGGTGAAATTTCAAAACTTTTTAAAAACCCTACAATTAGCCTCGACAAAGTAGTTTCTAAATATCTATGACCATGTGTTACCATAGAATCATAGAATCATAGAATAGGTTGGGTTGGAAAAGACCTCCAAGATCATCAAGTCCAACCTCTGATCCAACTCCAATTACTATATCATGGCACTAAGGGCCACATCCAATCTCTTTTTAAAAACCTCCAGGGATGGTGAATCCACCACCTCTCTGGGTAGGCCGTTCCAATGCCTGATAACCCTCTCTGTAAAGAATTTCTTCCTAACATCTAACCTAAACCTCCCCTGGCAGAGCTTGAGCCCATGTCCCCTTGTCCTATTGTTGGTTGCCCAGGAGAAGAGACCAACCCCTGCCTGGCTATAACCTCCCTTCAGGTAGTTGAAGAGAGTGATGAGGTCGCCTCTAAGCCTTCTCTTCTCCAGACTAAACAACCCCAGCTCCCTCAGCCTCTCCTCATAGGACTTGTGCTCAAGTCCCTTCACCAGCCTCGTTGCTCTTCTCTGGACCCACTCCAGCACCTCAATATCCTTCCTGAACTGAGGGGCCCAGAGCTGAACACAATACTCAAGGTGTGGCCTCACCAATGCAGAGTACAGGGGAAGGATCACTTCCTTGCTCCTGCTGACCACACTGTTCCTGATGCAGGCCAGGATGCCATTGGCCTTCTTGGCCACCTGAGCACACTGCTGGCTCATGTTCAGCCTCTTGTCGATCAGCACCCCCAAGTCCCTTTCTGCCTGACTGCTCTCCAGCCACTCTGTCCCCAGCCTGTAGCACTGCAGGGGGTTGTTGTGGCCAAAGTGCAGGACCCGGCACTTGGCCTTGTTGAACTTCATTCCATTGGAGTTAGCCCATCTCTCCAGTCTATCCAGATCCCTCTGCAGAGCCCTCCTGCCTTCCGGCAGGTCGACACTCCCTCCCACTTGGTGTCATCTGCAAAATTGCTGATGATGGACTCAATCCCCTCATCTAAATCATTGATAAAGATGTTAAAAAGGACTGGGCCCAGCACTGACCTCTGGGGAACACCACTAGTGACCGGCCACCAACTGGATGCAGCTCTGTTCACCAGCACTCTCTGGGCCCGGCCCTCGAGCCAGTTCCTGACCCAGCACAGAGTGCCCCTGTCCAAGCCGTGTGCTGCCAGCTTTTCCAGGAGTATGCTATGGGAGACGGTGTCAAAGGTGTTGAAGAATAGCTTCTGCTTTTTGGTGGCTTAGTTTTTTGATGCTTGATTTGTGATATAAATTTTGCAAGCTAAGCAAAATCCCTCTCCCCACCCCCCACACCTCCCCCCGAGGAAATTTAACATTTGGCTTTTTGTTTGTTAGCTTGAAAAATAAAAATAAATATTGATATAGTATTAATTATTACATAGAGTTTTGTAATATATGTAAATCTGCTTGTTATCCAGTTAGGAGTAGTGTATGTCTTTTTGAAAATTAAGTATCGGGAGGGTATTGTGTAAGAATGGAGGAATCCTGTTAACAAGCAGATAACTACTTTCTGCCAAATGGTTTTCTAATGTTTAGTGATGTGTGTTCTAACTATATTCTGTAAGGGAACTTAGGATCAAAACTGGAGCAAACGCATTAACTCTACTTCATTTCAGCTCCTGCTTTAAATATGTATGGGTATACTTTTGATTACTTAAATAAATCCAAATTTGACTTGTGTTAATCTCAGCAAAGGAATATTTTTGCAATATGAGATTTCCATAACTAACTTTAGTCTAGATTAAATAATGAGTTTCTAATTAGGATAGAAGATAATTTCCTTTTACAAAAATCCTGTATATTTACAAAACTAAAATCAGTAAATGATTATTACATACTGTGTGCTATTATTTCTTAATATTGAAAAAATTGCTTTATCATTGCAAATTGCTTTTTTCATGGGTTACTAATGTGTTGCAAATCTTTCTTTGGTGCAGTTTTTAATATGGGCAGCACTTTCTTTACATAAAAACTATATTAGAACTGAAAGAAAATTTGTGTGATGTGAAGAAAAGCCCTAGATTAGCCAGTCATTTTTGTTTTGCAAAATACAGATGATACACTGGCCTTTAAAGGATGACAATGTTTTAGAAAAAATTTCTTTGGCATTAAATGGCACAAAAGTAAGTTTGTTAAAATACCTGTGCATATATGAAGTATCTTTGTGGCCTTATTTTCTTTCTCTCTATTGAGTTTTACAAACTATATTTTTACTTGTATTAGAGTTGGATAACAGCATAACGGCAAGGTAACTTCTGGCTGACAGTTTGGGTCAAATGCCTTCAGAATCCTTACTTGAGTGAATTTGCTTGAAATGGAAGATGCCATATCAATTGCAGATTACACTGCATTTCTTCATGCAAGTTTTACTCAGAATTGGTGCCTGAATGAGTGTGGCCAGTTCAGTTATTTTAGTAGCCTTCTGGTTTGTTCAAATTGCTTGGAAGCACTAGCACTCATTGCACTCCTTACTAAGAGAGTGATTCAAATGATTGCCCTCTAGCACGTAAGCACCACTGGCAAGCCCAGCTCCTTTCTTCCCTATCAAGTTGCCCTGAGTACAAGAATCTGGTTTTGTCTATGCTATAGTAAAACACACTGCAAGGTACTTAGGTACTAAAAGCAATACAACGTCCTCATCAGGGTCAAGTGATCTGACCAGATACTGCCTCTGGTCTTTGAACTTTTTCCATATCTAAGGAATAATCTTTGTCCATGGGTTCCTGTAGTTATGCAAATAACATTATTTATTCTTAAGGTACATAACAGCCATTTTACAAATACTATATACCGGACAGCAGAAATGCTTCCAAATCAAACAGGAATGTTTCACAACTCTCCAGCAAACAACTTACCTGTATTTCGGTTTTCTGTTTTATTCCGTATGGGGATGAATATATAGTTAATAATTCTCCTGTTAATACCTTAATTAAGTACCATCTT